AGGGACTGATGGCTAAGTCTGGTCAGGCTATGACTTAAAAGTAAAAATAAATGAATTGGCCTCCATGCCTTATTTGGATAAGAATACAGCAGAACTGATGTGCCCATTGCTAAATGGAAGATAGATGGCTCATCCGTGTTCAAGTTCACCTTCCCGGTAGGGATAGAGAAATCGCTTCTGTGTGAAACCATCCTCCTGAAAGAGAGCTTGCAGACGAACACCAGTGTTGTGGAGAAATCTGAGCTGCGGGGTGGCCTGTCTTGGTAAAAGAACATTGCAAGTGCAGTTTTCAGCCTTATAGCAGCCTTGACTACCCAACCCCTGACCAAAATGTTGCTTAATCCTGAAGCTTTTATTACCTTAGGAAACCGGGACAGAGAGACTTACTTGTAACAGTGAGTTAATTAACTGACTCTTTACCAGGTGTTAAATGCCAGTGGTTTCTGCTCAGAGTAAATTTTAATTGCTCCCCTCTCGGCATTTACTTTTAAATGAACAAAACATGTCAGGAGATTATTGATAATCTTTAGGTAGAATCTATTTTTCATTTATATTTTGTGTAAAGCAAGTGAAAATATATGCCACAGAAACACACATCATGAATACATTGAGGTTTGTCTGGGAAAGCAAAGTCGAGACCATTCAAAAGCTCTGAAGCAAAGAACACCCTAATTTTGACTGCAAAACAAATTTCTCTTTTTAAGGTACCCTCCCTGGCATTACGCAGTGCTCCTCAAGGTGACCCCCAGACCCTAACTCCCCTGGGAAAGCACTCTTGGTTCTCTTTGGATATTTGATAGGAATCTCATTATTGCTGTGGTTTTTACAGAAATCATTCCAGAAATACACAACCCAAGGCTCAGAGGGAGGTCTTTGGTGGCGGTAGAGGGGAAAGGGGAGCAGGCAAAGTTTGCGTGTGCCGTGGGCTGTGGTCTCATCATAAACATCCACTGAAAGTGAGACTGTTCATCCAACTGTACATATTACAGAGAATCAGTTTCAACTTTGAGTTGACACTCATGATTAATAATGAAGAAATGGAGCACTGGTTGTAGTATTTCTGAATGAGATGCCATCGAAGATCCTTTTTTCACTGCACTGTGTGACGTTATGAGACTTCCTGAATTTTGAGGCTTAAGGGCAAAGCAGATGTCACACTGATGCCTCGAATATTTATGAGTAAGGCCTTATCATAGTAAAATGAGACTGTGTTTTCTTTGCTTAAAAGAAAGATTGTAAGCTTTTCTGCATGAATGTATGCATCTCCCTTCCGCCCACCTCATCCAGCCTGTATAATAACTCTGTGATAATCAGATTTAAGATGAAGCACCCATTAAAGGTAAGCATGAGAGCAAATAACTATAGGGCATAGTCATTAAATTCTTATGATTCATTAAACATCCATTAAAGTAAGCCATCCAGGCTGAGCCCCCAGGGATGGTAACCAGTGCATCTGCAGGTCACCAGTGAATTGCACAGGCATCCACTTCTTTTGAGAATCCTGCAGGAAGTAAGGAGTGTGGACTGGAGCTGTTCATTCTGCCATTAGACAAGATTCTTAGAAGGGAGGGTGTAGCCTTAAGAGCCGGTGATTTCAGTACTGGGACCCACATTTTGGCAGAAGCTTCTGGGAGAGTAGACCTAGGTGAGCGTGTCTGGCACTTGCATGATGTGCCATCTAGTGGTTAAGTGAGCCCAACATTAAGGTGAAGGAAGATGATCCTTTCTGGTATCTTATACATATAAACTCTCTACCACTTCATTTGAGCAGCGGAAGGAGGTTTGATGCTGTAGGCTAACTATAATGGGGGGGGGGTCTGTTTTCTTAGAAGCCACATGTTGAGCACAGAGTATTGGGGGTGGGGTGAAGGACACTGATACAGTAATTATGCAAACCAGAAGTGGCACACTGGCAGTGTTTGGCCCACAGAGTATTGTCTTCCATTTTGTTTCATTGAGGCATAATTCACTTATACAGTATAGTACACAAATCTTCAGTGTACAGCTTGCCACATTTTTTACCTTTATAAATGTCTACATATCCATATAGTCACCACCTGGGCCAAGCTATAGGATGTTTCCAGCATCCCAGTAGCCTCCCTCCTGGCCGCTCCCAGAAATCCCTCCTCACAATAACTGCTGGTTGGAACTCTGTTACTAGAGATTTGTAATGGCTTCACGAAGGTACATACTCCTAACCCTGGCCTGTGAGAAGGGATAAAATTCTGTAATCACCATTTTAATAGTTTGCCAGAGAGAGAGAGAGAGAGAGAGAGATGAAGAGAGAGAGGGAGAGAGTTTTCTTATTCCAAACTTTCTGTGGCTTAAAAAAAAAAAAGGTCCCTGTTTCCTGGGTTTATTTCAGAATCCAGGAGACATAATGATCTTTCTTTCTCGGTCTAAATCCATAGTACATTGTTTTTCTTACCAAGCTTCTCACTAAAAGATATATCCACTCAGTGCACTCATTGTATTTTCTGCAGGCAGAGTGTCTCTGCAGGCAGCCAAAGGAATTTCCAGAGAAATCCCATTACTTCTGAGCAGCATCACAAAGGTGCCACAGATTGTCATAGTAGAGCCTATGAATCCTGACGCAGCATTGCAGAAATTCATGCGAATGCCATGTCACCAGTGACTGCATGATAGTCTGTTCAAATTAAGCCAAGCAAATCATAATGGTGAGAAAGGTTCTCAACCCATAGTCCAGCAAAGGCTGATGTATAATGAATAGCATAATGCAATCATTGCTGCTATTTCTTCAGGACCTCTTTCTGTTCAAATTAAACTACATTCTCTCCAGTGTCAAAATTGATAGTATGTCAAGAAGCAGAGGTAGTTTTGAAGTAAAATTATTGTTATAATAAACAGGGCAATAATACAGACATTATCCTAACTTATTCCTTTTTTTTTTACAAATAACTTGTATTTATTTCCTAACTATTTGACATGGATTTAGAAAATAGAAGAATGTAAAGAACATGTACACAATCTCTATTCCATCAGAGAAAGTCTATAATGGCTTTGATTAATTCCTTTCAAGGAAGTATTATTCCTTTTTTGTGTGTATATGTGCATACATTTATTTTATAGAGTTGAGATGATATATATTTTCCTCTATCATAAACTCGAAACATGTTTAATACTTAAAATCATTTCATAATTTCTGTGTTAAGAATGAAAAGTAATTTTTTACCATTTCTTATTGGAAATTTTAATTGTTTGCTGTTTTTAAAATAGTTATAAAGATTTAATGTCTACATGTTTAAAATGAAGTCTTTGACTGTCTACCATACTTATTACTGGCCAGAACTTCCAGAATAGTGTTAAATAATAATGGCGATGTTGGCTGTTTGTGGTTTGCTCCTGATTATACAGGCAAAAATTGGTGTTTCTTAAATACAATGACAACTGGTGATTTGAGTTGCTTAAAACTCATATTAAATAAGTCCCATGAGTCTTAAATTTTAAATATCAGTGATGTAGAATTGAACATTACCAAATGTCTTTCATTGCTATTGAAATAATTAGATTTGTACCCATTTGGCCTATGGATATATGATATATTATAATAATAGGTTCCCTAATATTGACCCCCGTCCACCAGAACAAATACTACTACAGCATAGAGAAATAAACTTCCAATAAATTGTCAAATTCAATTCCATACTGTTGATTTTAGGGTTTTAATATACATATTTATTGTTCTTGAGAGACAACTAGTGTGGCAAAGTCAGGGATGTACTCAGTTCTTCTCATTCCCGTCTATAAATGTGGGTTGCTGAAAATGGGGCTAAGGAACCTATTTATGTCTATTATTTATTTATGTTTCTGTACATCTTATCCCAGCTGCAATAAGTGGGTTTTTTCTTTTGAGGATTCATAAAGCAGTTTTCTTAACCTCTCTCAAAGCACCCGTGACACTCATAAAATGACCTGCACATCTGTCTTCTGTTCTGGCATGGGCCGCCTTAAATTCAGGAGTTTTTCACCACCACCCCCCGCCCCCTTAGTCACTAAGTATTGTCCACCTATCCTCTCCTGTGGGGTCCCAGCGAAGCGCTGCTGTGGCAAATGCTGGAAATACTCAGATGAATTCTAAGCAACACCCTTAGACGGCCAAGCCAGCACGACAGTAAGCTAAGGGGAAAAGCAAGGAAATAAGAGGGACTCCAAAGTTCGGTGGGTATTGTTTTTGACTGTGGAGCAGTCTGAGCCCAGAAGGCAGGAGTCAGGTTCCAAAGCTGGGAGCGACACAGCAGGAAAGCACTGAAACCAGCTCTCCTCTACCTGCCCAGGCGGCTGCTCCATTCTGGTCCTGTAAGCGCATTACAGAGAGAAGCGATTACCTCAAATACGTTTGCCTACCTCAAGTATGTGCTCTTAAAACTAAGCACATTCATTATATTCCAATAATTTTTTAACAACTTTCTAATACTCATCTCAAGGCATCACTTCAAAATGATATCTTTCAATTGTCAGTTCTTTCCCAGGGGAAGGCTTGCAAAAATGAAGAACCCTCTAGGAAGCTCCCCTACAAGACTATAACCACTTGAGGACAGGAAATAGGACTTAAGTATATTCTAGTTCCCACTGTACCAGGCATGTGGTTTAAATGTAACTAGTGTTTTTGAAATTAATTCATCCTATTTTCTTGGAGTGTAATGTTACTGAGTGGTATTCCTCACTTATCTGAAGACCAAAAGCAACTTTTTAAAAGCCGTTTAGCCAACAGAGGTAGAATCATAACTAAAAACTTAATGGAAATTAATGGAAGAAATGCTCACAAAAGTAAATGGGGAGCATAAGTATGCTCTTCAAGCTAGAGTCAAAATGAAACTTGGCAATCGGGGGAAGAGTTCCGGTGATGACTCTTCAAAAATACCTGGCCGGCCTTGTGAGAGGGAGGGATTGCTGCCTTTCTGCTTCTGTGCAGGCACTGGAGTTTCTCAGAGGGCAAAGTGAAAAGTTGTGTTCAATGATGCCTTTCTCCTTTTCCTTAGGGTGTTAAATACCACACTATTTGAAAGTTGGGAGATCGTTGGACCTTATCCTTCCTGGTGGGTTTTTAACCTACTGCTGTTGCTAATACTAGGCTTGAACTGCTTCTGGTCTTACTTGATCGTAAAAATAGCTTGCAAAGCTATTTCAAAAGGCAAGGTAAGATAAAATGCATCATTTCTAATATGTCCCAGATAATTATGTTACTTAATTGCTCTGAATCAATAAGAACATTATTTATTATTTCAAATTTCATCAAAATTGATTTTTTCAAAATTTAGAACAACCCCGTAGAAGCACAAACCAAATGTTTATTGTCTTCCATTTAGTTCATTTTTTAAGTTGTAGCATTGCATTACTGATTATGATTCCCAGTGTTCTGCATTTATAATTTCAGATTTAATAATATATTATTTGTTACATTCTTTCTCTCTCTCTGTCTCCCTTGGTTCTTCTCTGATTATACTCATACTGAACAGAAATTTAATAACTTCTTTGCTTTTAAAAGAGGGTTGCTTGATGCAGTATGTCCATTTAGGCCTTTTCCAACAAAATTTCGTTTCTTTGGTTAAAAAAAATGGACTCACGAGGCTGATTTGAATAACGCTTCTTGAGCCCCAACCCCTCTGTGTAGAACAGTGACTTTTCTAGAACATTCTCTATGACATTTTCTTATTTTCATTGTTTGTTCTCTTCCTTCTGCCACCCTGGAAGGCTGGGAAGTGGAACCCTTTACATGTAAGTTTCTCACCACTCTCTCTGTCCTTGTCCTGGGTGCCACATTAGCCTGCTGGAGGGGCACTCAGATGCTTTTGTTTCCATGCATATTGTTCTGTCTAATCTGTTGGCACTGGCTGGAGGCTCTAACTGAGGTATGGCTCCCACCAGCTGCAAAGGGATACTGGGAACAGCTCAGTTCATGTCCTTTTGTATGAGCTTGCATTCCACTAAACTTTGCATGATCCCACAGAGAAGGAAAGGAATTTTTTTCAGTGGTGCTTGACAAGCAGCAATAGACCAAAGTGAGGTAGGAGAAAGAGAAGTTGGGGAGAGGAGCAACACTGGCCCAAATGGAGTACTTAGCATTAGTTCCTTTGCCTGGTGTGCCCTGGACCACAGGGCAGCACTTAACCAACCTCCTTGTCCTCAGCAAGAGAAACGGAGCTGACCCTCCCACAGAGGGGCTTGGATACCGAGTCATGTACTGAAGAGCCAGTTATCAGTGTCAGCTGAATTATGATATAATTCCACATAATCATGTATTATAGAAATGTACACCTGAAATCTATATGACCCTAGGAATCAATGGCACCCCAATAAATGTAATAAAAATAAATTCAAAATATTTTGATTGATGCATGGCTTAGAAAGTTTTTTTCCCCTGTGATCTCTTACTCTTTAAAGTTAGTACATATTTCTATTTAAAAAATGCTCCTGTTCTCATTTGAATTCAAATTAAGTCAACATGCACAATACTGTGAGCAGGGTAACAATGACTGAAGATACAAGGAGCAATGATTAGATTACTTATGTCCTTACTACATTGCTGTTTCTAGCAGATGTGTTCTCTTCTCTCCAATTTATTCCTTCAGCTTTATGAAGAGACAGTCTTTAGTTTTATTCCACATCTCAGGCTTCATGATATTTTAATTATTATTACAGCTCACCTAAGACAGCCAGGTTCATGGCCTTAGTTTGGGGACTCCCATTTTTTGTGAGTTATTTTAAGACATTCTAAATTGTTTTTTTTCTTTGAAGGTAACATAGCTATAGATTTTTTTCCCCATTGCTATTAAAAATAATCTTACTAATCATGCAAATGTAAATCACTCTCTGAAAACTAGAGTTTGCTTTTCTATTAGCAGCTTACTTTATGACTAATGGATTTCTAAATGAAGGGGAACCCTACTATAGTGCCGTCTTTGTGACCATGGTTTTTAAGTTAAAGTATCCTTACAATCTAGTTGTTTTGATGTTTCAGTATCTAAATCTTCCTGGAGATAGGCCTTGTGAGTTTAGCCTCACCTCGAGTGGCATGGGAGTGAGGTCCATTTTTACGCTATTCATTTGGTCATTTCCGATCCCCTTGCACCTAACAGAGGTGCTGTTGTCTCAGTAATGGTGGCTTCTCCGCTTGGAAGGGCACTGGATTCCAGGGTTCTCAAGTTGGGGAGTAGTGGTGGCACAGAGAGGATGTGATGTGGAAAAATCCCCCAGTTAGTTCTGATATACTTACGAGGAGACTAGCTGGGGGAAAGGCCTATGAAGCCAGGCTACCAGGTCCCTGTTGCCACCGCACCTAGAAAGTAAGTAAATGGTGCTCAATTCCTCACAGGTGTTAAGGCCTTTTGGGTAAAAATGCTTACAATAATTTAGACTTATAGAGTAGCAGTTTCAAACTATTTTAATATTAAAAACAGTAGAGTATTTCTTGAACCTCTCCCTAAATTAGAGGGAGGAACCAAAAATATGAATGTATAAAAAAATTGTTTTTTATTCTTACATGTTTCCACTTCAGTTACCTTCAAAATACTCTCCATTTGATGCAATACACCTGGTGAGACTTTTTCCCGCTAGTCAAAACAGTTTTTGAACTCGTCAGTTTTGATGCCTTGTAGTACTTCTGCCATTTTTTTTTGTTTCACCTCTTCCACATCAGCAAAACATTTCCGTTCAAGAATAATTTTCATCCGGGGAAACAATAAAAAGTCACTTGGGGCGAGATTGGGTGAATAGGGAAGGTAGGGCATGGGGGTCATGTCATTTTTGGTCAAAAATTGCTGAACGTTCAGTACGGTATGGGCAGGTGCACTCACAGATCACCCATCCTAAAATGGGCAAACACTTTGAAAGAGTCTTCCCAAAAAATTCACTGAAGCTAAACACAGCCTCTCACAAAAACACCAGCTGGTACACTGATGCAGACGGGTTCCTAGAACACTCACCTAGCAGGGGAAGCCTGTACAACAAGGGGCCCGCCCTCCAGAAGATAATTCTGGTTTTTGGTGTCCCCCCTCTCATTTCCATGCTAGGCAGTCCGATTTCTTTTCACTCCTTACAATAAGGGATAGATTTGTATCTGTTGCCCTATGTGCCCATCCTCATTATCTAATGAGACTGAATGGAGGACTGAAAAACTCTGGAGTGGCAGGAACCAATTCATGGTGATTCAGTCAGTCGATTTTCCTTGGGAAATATTTAAAACTAACCCTCACCCGGCAGGTACTCAAAATACCCTCTACTGCCATTAGTTATTATGTAGTATCTAAAACAAAATTCCTACTTAATTCTAGCAGACAGAAAAGAAAACCTAATTAAATCATGAAACAATGGATTGCAAAGACAAATAAGAATGATGATTTTATTAACTGAGTTAGTGAATATCTACATTAGTGTAGTTAATTGAGAGCTGACTTTGAATGATTCTCAAGGATAAGGTGATCATCAGAGTATAAATTGACTCATTTGTACCAAATTCCTACAGTGCCATTCTGGTAAAAGTGCAACTCATGGTCTTAATACATTCTCAATACAGAAAAGTACCTTAAAGGGGTCAGCAAGCCCTGACCTGTGTGACTCAGCTGGTTGGACATTGTCCCACAAAGGGAAAAGTTGCCTGTTCGATTCCCCGTCAGAGCACATGCCTGGGTTGCAGATTTAATCCCCACTTGGGGCATGTATGAGAGGCAACCGGCTGATACTTCTCTCTCACATTGATGTTTCTCTCCCTTGCTTTTTCCCGCCTTTCCCTTCTCTCTAAAAATAAATAAATAAAATCTTTTAAAAAAGAGGTCAGCAAATCTAGCCCCCGTTCCTTAATAACTGACTTTGTCACCCAAACTGCTTATCTCCAGAAAAAGGGAACTTATTACCGTGGCAAGAATTTTTGTCCCCTTTGATTTTGTAACATTTGGATCTTGTTTTCCTTTGTATGTGATTGCATGGGATTCTGAGTCTGCCACCACTTAATGATTCCTTGGGAGCGGGTTCCACTCACCTTCTTGTATTCCACAGGTGTCCAAGGATGACCGGAGTGATATTGAGTCTAGCTCAGATGAGGAGGACTCGGAACCTCCAGGGAAGAGCCCCCACACTGCAACCGCTACCAATGGAACCAGTGGTACCAACGGATATCTCCTCACTGGCCCTTGCTCCATGGATGATTAATTACTCAAAACTACGAGTCTGGAACAAAGTGAACTATTTGTTCCCAGAAGTATTTAATAAGTTGCAAATGCAGTTCCTTTCATAATATCTCAGCACCAGAAACAAAAATTAGGATTATCAAAGCATTTTGAATAGCGCACTGCCATATGTCCCGTCTGTGAATGAAGAAGAATTATCATTCTCTCTATGTAGGCATGCTGTATGTAATTGATACAAGGGAACAGTATTTGCATTTGTATTGTCTTAGAATATTATTTATTTTTTTGTATTTGTTTGTAAATCTGTGGACAAACGAGGGTTTCCTTACTCCTTCTACTCCCTGGGTTCGTGACAAGTGAGGGAGATGCTCCATCTGCTTCTACCCCTTTCTATTGCTGTAGCCCTGAGTGCTAGGAGCATCAGCTTAATTAGTCTTAGAACAAGCAAAACCCGATGCAAGATTCTCTTACAGCTCCAAATAGGTTTGCTTTCTTCGTGTCGGTGCCCATTTAGAAATTGCCCGTAGTCTCCGTGACCATCCTCCCAGTATGTAGTTTAAGCAGGATGAGCTAGGTTTTTTAATTGTCAATCTTCATGGTCATTTAGCAGTTAACTGAAAGAGTATAGTTGTTGGAGGGCTTTTTAAAAATTGTTTTGTATTAAATTGTTTTGGAATAGACTTCATTTCTCGTGCCCACAGCCAAGATTTCTTCAATGAGTGCGGTAGCTAGTTGAGGATTCATCCTGCAGGTTACAGAGATCTTTTTATTCTCTGTTATGAGGTCAGTGCTCTGGCTCTGAAGGAAGACACTTGCTTCAGGTCATAGTTTTGCTCTTACTCTCCAGAATTTTTTTCACGATCTGAGAATAGCATCAAGGGAGCTGATTGCCACCACATTTTACCACTGCCCCTGTAATTAGTGCAGTCTTGTGTCGTGGCATGAAAAAAAAAAGCTGAGTCTACTTTGCAACAGAAAAAAAGAGAGTTTCAAGAGTTGGCAAAGGTCACCTCTAGTGCAAAGCACTTAGGAAAGTGCCCTATCTAGCATTTGATTTTGATGTTTTATTTTTCTGAACGAAATTAGGCAAATGGGAGAAAGACTATTTTACCATCTGTCTTTTCTCCCTACGCAGAACTCAGAAAGACTTCCCTGTTACTCAAACAGCATTGCGCTGAGTCCCTTTGTTTGCTTCTTTGAAGATCTGTTCTCTTTATAGGATTTTTTACTCCAAAGAAGCTATTGCCAACAAAACAAAAATTTGACTGGACATTGACAAGATCGGCAATGAGAAGGACTACTGAACAATAAATCTCCGTTGTCTCCTAGATGGCAGTGTTGTTTGTGTGTAGAAAGAAACCCATACCCGTAAACCAAAGATTTTATCTCCTTTCTTCCAACTTTTAGTAAGCAGGGATAAAAAGATATTACAGATACTTTCTTCATAAATCAAAAAGACCGTAATGGGGGCACATAAATATGTGAACCAGGGCATAGTGCAGACAACGGCAAAATCCTAGAATCAGTGTGCTGCTCAAAGCCATTCACATTCAATAGAGTTTTTTGAAAAAAATTAAAGCTTCGTGCTCACAATTTGCAACCTCTAATTAAAAGAATGTTCCCAAACAAAAACTTCCCACTGCAATATTGAGTCTTCCCCACTTAGTTACAAATGGTATGTTTCTGGTCCATAGTAATAATTGAAGAGGCTTGAAAATGTGTCTGCCTGTTTATTGAAACAACTAACTGTTTATGTAAGGCCTTATTATTTTATTTCAAAACACCGTGGTGTGTCTAGGAGTGTGATTTGTGGATGGTTTGAGTTTGTAAGACCAATCATAAAACATCAAAAGTACTTATTAGTCATCTCAACATGTGCTAAGATGCAGATAAGTAAAAAGTAACAGCAAGCATGTTATAGCTGAAAATTTTTGAGAGGGTGAAAATTTATCATTTTATCAACTAAAACATGGAAGAGAAGATGGATTGTACTCGGCTTTAGTGTGTACGGCAAGTCCTCTACATGGGTGAAATAAACCAGAGGACCTTGGAGGGTTCAAGTTTGGATTATCTGACGCCCTTTAGCACGGAAGAAAAATTTCAAAAGATTAGCTTATAAATTATTAGAGAAGAATTGCATAAAATTGAGTACATTGAGTCCATCCTTAGCAAAGACAAATCTAAATAATCTGTTTTCCCAAAAATCACTTAAAAGAAGAATTAGGAATACTCAGAACGATGGCATTAATTTAACAAAGTCCCCCATGCGTCTACAGATTTTTCTTTCATTTTACATTTTAGAGCAAAAAATTCTTTTTGACAAGTCAAAATGGTGTTTATAGGCCTCTGGAGGTGAAGAATAATATATCTCTGTCTACTGCTCTCCCATGGTGGCCGGATAAGAGAAGGGTATGTGAGATGTCTTCTACCTGTACCAGGCCATAGTTTTGGAAGTGTATTTTGTAAATTCTGCTGTAGGTTAGTGAGATTGTTGTTTCCCATTAGTTGTCTTAGCCTGTGTTGGTATCTCCTTCCTCCTGGTCACACTCAAACTTTCCCAAGGTACAAAGGAGTATATAGGAAGGAATCTAGAAAAACTATATTTTATTCTCTAATGTTACAGCTTTTCTATATCTCTTAGTGGGGAAAAGGAAAGTAGAAAATTGAGTAGAATTTCGCCTTGGATCAATAAATGATAGAAATATGTGATCTATGTATGTATATGTATGTTTCTCCAAAAATGTGATAAAACCAAAATACCACTGACTCATTAATATCCATATTCTTTTCATAAAAGCCATTTTCTGTATACAGTAGAAACTTCCTGCCTCTCAACTTTCCTGTTCATTGGACCCCGACAGTGGAGTCATGGAATCTTTTCAGAAAGTCTCTTAGCCTCACAACTAAATACTGCACAATTTAAGATCATAGAGGGACTAAGGTCAGCATGGAAGCCAAATACAATTCTCATTTTTAAAAGTAGCCATACGAACATTGAGAATGGGGGAGCAACTATCAGAGTATTCGGGATCATTAAACTGTATGTTGAAAAAAATGCATATGACTACTGCCTCACCCCAAGATTTTATTAACATCTAGCTCCTGCTAGGCTGCTAGATAAGTGTGTTCTGATCAGATAATGAAAGGCACCTGCTGGAGATACTCAGCAGAAAGGCTGATTCTCCAAAGAAAGCAAGCAGTTGGGTGAGAGAAATAACTCTTTAGTGAGAGATTAGATCACCTTTAGCCGCAATGGTAGGTGAACCTCAAAATGTCCAGTTCTGTTGCCAAACTTTCCATTCTGAGTATGTATATATGGTAGAGTTTCAGCTTGAACAAATCGAATGCTTTTACCTTAGGTAGAAGGGATCTGAATCTTCCACTTTGTGTATTTTAACCTCATTGTTATTTTGGCTGAAACAAAAACAGCTTATTTCAGTTTACCTGAGTCTTTGCAAAAGAGCTCTTCACAAAGAACTTTATAGACACCTATGATTGTTCCAAATCTGTTCATGATTTTTTTGTTATTAATAGTTATTTTTATCCCTTTCTTGGAAATGTTAATGCCAAAGTTGCCTGAATATTTGATTTTTTTAAATTTGAAGTATAGGAAGTATGCATAATAATTCCAAAGGTGTTAAAAGATTCCGTTTATCAGTATGTATGATGATGTCGTTATGTCCAGAGAGGTTTGAGAAATCCTTTGGAAATAAAAGGTTATATGTTTACATTTCATGTGCTGTTTGAGATCTTAGGATTCCAATTAGCTTACTTTTCCTTACCTTTGACTGATCCCTAGTTTATTGATAAATAATAATAGCCCTGAAATGTTTGTAATATTCAAATAAGAAAATATCAGATCGAAGTCAGACTGATGATAAAGTGATGACAAGGCACTTCCAGCTTCTAAGTTACTTGTATGGGAAGAAGAAATGCAGTTAGCTCCAATTATTGCATTGACTGCCTTGTGTTCTGTCCGTGGGAGAATACTCTCAATTATCATAAAGAGTTCTTGGAGTCATGCAATATGCAGCAAGATAGGTTTTTAATAAAGATATTGTTGTCCCCAGAGTCAATTTAAGTTTTTCTTGGTAAAACAAAATTGTGCCATTATCAAGTTACCAAGTAGTGATTAGCACTGGTTCACCACGGTCACATTTTAGTTCTTTCTTATAATAGTCCAGAAGAGTTCTCTGGTTTTCCCTTGTGTGGAAGGACCCCTATTCTCCCATAAGGGGCGCTCAGTAGATGCTGAGGAAGCTAATCTATTTGTCCACTCTATGCTTTTGGAATTCTTCTAACATACACTCAGAGGGAGCATACCTGATGCTGGTTTTCATGGAGAAAATGATATTAAAGAACGTAAAACATCTTAAGTAACTGTTAATAACATCTGCAGACACCTGGAAGAGAACCTTGGTCTTTTCCAGGTATTTCCAACTCGAGTTTGACCTGAAGCCTTTGAAAGGAACACATTACCGAATGGCCACAAGCTAAGACTTCATCAGATCAAAGAAATAAAAAAAATCTCTTCAGCCAGATGGCATATCGTATGGTGTCTCCACAAGACTAGGCATTCTCAAGATTTCCCCGGAAGTGATGGGAGGGGACCTTTAGCCTAAAATCTGTGTTGTTTATCTCATTCGCTCACATTCCTTTCAGCCTCCTGGAACTCTTGAGAAAAAGAAGCCAGAATATTGTCACTTTTTTGCTCTCAATTTCCCAACAGTCTTTGGATCAGTTGTACCCACGCTTCCTTCTCTGCCTGATGCCATTTTTCTTAACAAAGTATTGTTAAGCCTGTTTTTCTTAACGAGAGGCCATGGAAGTTTGGCTTCCTATTTTGGTGTATTTTGCATGGCCTGGAAACCAGGAACAACAGCTGTTGTATGATTGGTATGCTAAGTGAGAAAAAGTGGATTTTATAGAGATAATTTTTTTCTTTGGGACCTACAGTAATTTTTTTAAACTATCATCGTAAAGCTACCCTTTGAAGATAAAGGGGTTTTAAAGATCAGTTGCCAAAGAGAAATTAGCTCTGTAATAGGAACAGTTAAGTGATGAATCTGGAACTTTAACCTAGAGCCTCATTAATTTAAACATGTAAAAAAACACCCTCTAAGTTTGAATTTCAAAAGTTTTACAATGCCGCTAAGCCCCTGATTTCTATCAACTCTCTGTTCACCCATATAATCAGTTACCTCCGTAGCCATCTGTTGTCATGCAAGGGGGAGGGTGGTTAGTTTTTGGATTTGATTTTTTTTTTAACATGCAGTGAGAAATAGGATAGGTGGCGAACCTTACTCTTTTCTTAAGACAATTCAGTGCTCAAGCATCTCTGTCAGAAATGGAATGATGTGCTGTTAGCCAATTAGAATTATTTTATGTACTGTTACTATGTTTTGCTGATTTTTATATGAAAATATAATTATTCATTCTTGATCTCTGGACACAATCGTTATTATGAGGATCATTTTACT